TATTTGAAGGCGCTTGGTAACGGCCCAAAATTTCTATTTCCGGAATAGAAAAAAAACAAAAATGCGTTTGGTAACTATACAAAATTTCTTTTTATTAATAATATTTTGAATTTTTTAATATTTCTTTCTCTCTTTTTTGTTTTGTTTTTTCCTTCCTTGGCCCATGGCCGACAATTGGTCACAGGCCAAGGTCGGCAAGGGCGTCTCAGCCCTCGCCGGCCATAAGCGAGGGCCACCCTCGCGGGCAAGGGTGAGGGTTGGACCCTCGCGGCCTGGGCGAGGGCTGGAAAAGGCCTGCGAGGGCGACCCTCGCCTAGGCCGTGAGGGTCCAGCCCTCGCCCTCATCGGTCCTGGCCTGTGGCCGGTCGCCAGGAAAGAAGAAGAACCAGCCACAATCAGGAAGTAAAGAAGAAAAAGAAAAAAATCTCTTCTATTTCTAATTCTTGTTCCCAAAATCAAGAATCAATTTTTTTTTTTATTCTTGATTCTATTCCAAAACTGATTCCGGGAACAAAAAATTTACCAAACAGATTTCTGTTCATTTTTTGTTCCCGGGAACAAAAGAATAGAATCAGTCACTTTTTGGCAAGTTACCAAACACACCCTTAATGTACTGCCTCAAATTAAAAATGGAAGAAAAAATACATGATAATATGATGGACATTATAGTTCACGTGGATGACAACTTACTGGTTACATGATGGACGAAATAAACACACATATGCATAGATTGGTTCGGATAGTGAGAAAGTGAACAAAAAGGCACAATTAAATACGGAGACCCGTGTTTTCGGTAAACAGTAGAAATGATTGAGCATTTGTCCCCACGAATCCGATTCAGAGTATGCTCCTGTCCAAATCCCTAAGGTAAAATAAGAACAACCCCCATATTCAAACCTCCCATTTTACCATTAGCAATAACTTGTCCATTCTTCAGGATATTCCCCTGAAAAAGGGGTGGTCTCTGCCTGCGCGGAGATGGAGCAACAGAAGTTTTAAAAATGTAATATATATTTTAAGGAAGAACATGAAATGCAATTTTTTCACATGGTAAAGTGTATTTCTTTTTCCCAATGGTGCTTTTAATAGTTGGGCGTGCTTGATGGATGAATCCCTCCCTAAAAAAAATTGAAATCCAGGATGTAATCAGGGCAAAAAAAATTTGTTAATAATATTTTTCTATTAACACCAGATATCTTAAATGGAGAGTCTTGGCAGCGTATTATTGTGCTAGCTTTCTTGAGGTAGCCGGCTAATTACGGTCATGCTCTTAGGTCATATAAAAAAAACACCATTATGTCCTAGGAAAAGCTTTTATTTAATTAAATTTGCATATATTGAGTGGATTAAGTGTAGCTTTTCTTTGTTGATAGTTTGATTGACTCCTTGGTTTGCTTTAATATCAAATTAAATGGATTTTTTTATTTAATAATTATAATTTTCTTAGAGATTCTTTCATTCCATGTCTCCATTTTTTTTAAGTCGGAAAAATGTTACAAAAAATATAGATAAGTCTCATAAAAAAATTATATATATATATATATATATATTTCTCCTGTTTTTTGACTTTTAACTTATTATAGTCTTCCCATTAAGTAGGATTGATTTTTTAAGAGCAATTCTTGCGATAAAATGTATATATTTAGACTGGCTTTCAATATACATTTTTTGGCCATTTATCGGTTTGACACTAACGGTTCCACATTCGTAAAGTGTATTTCAAACATTTTGTCATGCAAATTTTGAATTCGAGCTCAATAAGATATTAAATTTGTGGAGTAACAACTCAATAAATAAAAACTCGGTTAAATGTGTGAAACTCTTTCTTGGGAATTAATTATTTGTGATAGGTTGATTAAGAAAGAAAGGTTGCGGAGTATGTTAAAAATTAATTCGAGGAGAGATGTAGAAGTGATTGGGACGAAGGCGCGACCCTCGCTGGGGCTGGAGAAGTCTAGTATTGGAATTGGCTTCAAGAGAGATTTATTTTGGAATTACTTTTGTAGAGAGATCCATCTTGGATAAGAAAAAGCCATCACATTCTCTCACGTGTTATGTCTAACTAGTATACCAAAAAAAAAAAACGATTCTCTTATTGGACATGGTTTTTTGTTTTTTTTTACCAGAACTTATTGGATATGGTTAACAAATGCTCTTCGAGTACGGATCTCATATTAACTCTACATTGTTCAATGACTAAGATTAACAACAAGTTTTTTTTTTGCCAAAATGTTAACAAGTCTATTGTGCACCAACAGCCATGCTCTCGATTGCTTTTCCTTTTCATGCCGTGAGAATGGTGATGTACTAGAACAGAAATTCAGAAAAAAGAAAGAAAGAAATACTGAATTTATGGGGCCGTTTTTTATCCTGTGCTTTTGTGCACATCGGTTTCGCCATATCCCTCTTGTCATCCATTCAATGCAAGGTGTTCTAATGTCAGTCGTCCATTTGATTTGTGTCATCGTATCAATTGTTCAATCGAAACTTTGCTAGTGCCAACAATCGAATTCAGCATGATAAAATCGATGTGTTCAAAGCCATTGGATCATAGCGAAGGGTATGTTTGTCGTAATATACAACATTGCGACTTGTCATGGTAATTAAGTACTAGATCATAATGACGTAAAATAAAATTGTTCTATGACTTTACGATGCAGTATCATAATCAAGTGTTGAAATGGTGTAAAACAGAGACGTGCACCAAACCGTATTTCGGAATATGAATGGAATCAACACTGACGCAAGTTCCGCGGGAAATGGATGCGTGATTTCCGTGGATTGCCGACTAAAAGTGAACTTCAATTCTGCCTTCTTGTCGGTAGAAATTAATAGTAATAAAAAAAAATGATAAAGTGAGAGCATCTCACACTTCTTGTGGACCTTCCACGGATTGTGTTCATGGGTGGGTTGGAAATTGGAATATGAAAGAAAACCCAAATACATCTGCACATCTCTCTAATAGAAAGTGTTCATTTTGATTCCAGCAATGGAATGATATTCGGAAAATATCTGGTTTGCCAAATAATATAGAAGGTAACACAGAGGTTAAATATATTTTGGGCCTCATCCTAATTACGTCTACAAAAATTGTAAGTTCAATCCTTTAGGGTTTGCTTAGTTGGTTGACGAGTCGGAGATTTTCGTATTAGAAGCTGGAGGTCACAAGGTCAAATCTCATCAAAACTATTGTAAGTCAGAGCGTGGTCTTCCATGGGCGTGACTCTTTTCAATCGGTAGCTACAAGAACCTTCGAATAGGTCTTCTCCTCAAAAAAAAATTTTCATTGCCTTTTATAATGTCAGACGAGATAATTATGAAATTCTAATGCTGTTAAATGTTAATAATGGGTATATGAGTTCCCTTTAATTAGCCAAGAAGAAAAAGATATTGCCAGATGATTTTAGTAATTTCCCACATTACTAAGATGATCATCTAGAAATGATTATTTAAGAGATTCGTTTTGGTTAGTGAGAGATTTTTCATTGCTCTTATTAACAAACACAAATAGTGTACAAAGATATTAATGAAATGATTAACGCAACGATCAAGAGGGGGTGAATTGATCGTTTTTAAGAAAATTAAAACTCTTTCGTGGAGTACGTGTGCTGTGCTGCTGTAGGAGGGTAGATTGGTTTGTTCTAAGAAAATTAATAAGACTTTTCCGTGAAGAACGCGTCTAGTGTGTTGCTGGAGGAGGAAAGCAGCTATGCGGAAGCGGTAACTTCTATCCAGCAGATAATGAAGGAGTTTGACAGATCAAAGCGATGCAAGACAGATTTATAGGGCTCGGCATTCCACTTGACCTACTCCACTCACAACAAGGCCGAGTCCCACTAAGTAATCCTCGAGATTTTATAATTTGTAGAGGGTGCTGCTTCTGCACAAAGCTCAGTAGATGATCCCACAAAACATGAGTACCCCTTACAACTCTATAACTCACTAACTTCCTAAATTGCAGAAGCGCAAATTTCTACAGAGAAATACAATCATAATTACACAGCTTCTATACACAAGAGCATAGACTAAGATTGTTTCAAGCTTGAATTAACCTAGATTTTTCATTTAGTTTCAAACCCAATCATGTAGTTACAGAAATTTATAAAATTTCATTCATAAGAAGCCTATGCCATCTAACTTTCATCTAAAAATTAAAGACAGTTGACCTTACTTTTAGACTCCCAAGGTGGCATGCTCTTGGCCACTTTTTGAAATCCGGCCCCCTCGTGTACGTTGCTTCCAGCAAGTTTTTTCTTTACTTGTTTGTTCGGCTTCTTAGCGACTTCGCTAGGTCTTTTGAACATGAATATTTTTATTTTATCTAATTTTTCTTTTATTTTAACTTTTTTAAAGATACTTTTAATTCTCTAAATTTGTTTGGGCCATTGTGGGCTTTCCAGGTCTTTTAGGCCCCAACCTATATACATACCTATATATATATAATTAATATTACGAAAAACCTCAAACTGGTACATCCATGACAAATTTACCTAAAACTAATTTTTCGTGGTACACCCATGACAAATTTACTCTTCATTAGTTTCCGTTAAATTTTACCGTCAAATTGCTGAGTTTGATAATATATGACAGTTGACGGATCTACCAATTTGAGATTTTACCCCTCCATTTATCGCAATTTTGCCAATTTGTGATTTTTCGTTGTATTAATCCAATTTAATAGAGGGTAAACTTGTTCAAAATTTACCAGTTTGAGGTTTTTGGTGATCAAAAAATTAATTTTGGATAAATTTATCACAGGTGTACTAGTTTGGGATTTTTTGTGGTATTAATCCATAGAGAGAGAGTACTATTCATTCAAAATTATTGAGAAAAAATAATTTAATTACATCAGAATACTAATGGGAATGCTTTCATATTTGACTTTATCATTTTAATCTTAAACTCCATCACCGACTACACGGAAAATTAAATAATCGGTCAACACTAATCAATTCATGTGCCTCACTACCTGTCCAGCACGATGCAGCCTGCCTGTTACCTGTATGAAACTCAGGAATCAAATCATACCTTTGACAAAACAAGGAGCGCAAAGACTTTTTGGGGAGCGACCTGGGGCTTCATCGTAACACAAGCCGAGCCAACGATGGCCAACGCGAAAATCACGGCCTGCGTGCTCGCGGTCACGGTTGCGTTTTTATTGGGCACCGAGGCGACGAATTACACGGTGGGTGGTTCTGGGGGATGGAAGGTCCCTTCTAGCACCGGCGCATATTCCGACTGGGCTAGCCAACACGCGTTCGAGGCCGGCGACGTTCTGGGTGAGTTAGAAGCCGTTTCTCGCCTGACATGAATTTTCAAATTCACGTACATTTATGAGTGCCAAGTATGTGTAACATCTCGATTTATGTTGAAGAAGATCCAGAATTATGGTGATTTGGTTTTGTGCACCTTCTGAGCTTGTTTTGCGAGTAGATCTCTCATCAGAGATGCAAGGCAAGGTTTGAGCACAGATCTAGTCAACACGACTATATGAAGATACCAAGGGAGATTTTGTCTTCTTTTGGTTGATAACATGAAGGAAATAATTATAAGATGTCTTGTGTTTTATCTTCACATGATCAAGAAACGGAAGGTTTGAATGTAATTAGACTGATCCATCTCTGCCCTTGATCTGGGGTGCTTGCCTTGACCATGATCAATAAGCTTCGCTCTTTGATGCTCATGATCCTTCAAATTTTCCTTTTTTGGGGCCAGTGTTTGATTTCGACTCGAGCACGAATGACGTTGCGGACGTGACGAAGGAGGACTACGACGCCTGCAACACCGGCGCTCCATTCACTGTCCTATCCACTTCTCCGGCCTATTACTCCCTTGATACCGCCGGCGACTATTACTTCCTCTGCACCACTACAGGCCATTGTTCCCAGGGTCAGAAGTTGGCCATCACCGTCGCCAAGTCTCTGAGCGGCCCGACCTCCAGCCCGCCAGGATCCCTGCCGCCGCCATCCCCCACCACAGGCGCAACTGCATCTCCGACAAGCGTTGGCTCATCTCTTGGTGTTGCGCAGCTAGTCCTGTTCATGTCCATTGCCATGAGCTCATTGTGCTAGCTCATACAAGAGGGGGGATCATTGCTTCTACTAGATAGAGGTGGAAATGTTGGTACATTGCGAGGTGCTGTTGCAGAAAATATAGTGGATGAATTCATTGTCTTTCTTTGGAACGAGATTCAGATAGAAATAATCAATTGAGCTATACAGAGAATCTTGAGTTGGTTTAGCTTGGCCAGTCTCTCTGGCTTCAGAACATTTGGATGATTCATGTCGTAGTTTGATATGTTGACTACACCGTTTAATCAGCGCTTCTAGTGTCCTTCTCCCGATTTTTGGTACACGAGTTATTGACTACACCATTTAATCAGCCCTCCATGGTCAAATAAAATGATAAGAGCTCTAATCTTTAATGAAGAATTCAGCAAGAAAGTCGGACCACACGAGAAAACTTAGCATATTAACTGGCAATGTTTTAGTATATTTCTTAGAATAAATTAGCTTGATAGCTTTAATTTTTTTTTTTAACGAAACAACTTATAGTCTGAGCTTATCACAAAATTCTTTGAGACTGAGAGGAACAACGTTGAATTTGGTTTAACAGTTTCATTTGCAAGGACACTAGTGTTTTGCTAAACATAGTCACTCAAGCAAAATCATGGATAAGTATACTGAAAGTCCCGAAATTTATCACGAAAGTGCAATTGAGTAATAAAACTTTAAAAAAAACGCAATCAAATCTAACACAAACCTAGTGCCATGCCGGCCCATCAAATCAAATGGGCCAGCCCGGCCAATCGACGTTTCATGGTGAATCGAGCCTCGCCTAGCCATGGCGAGGCCGACTCCGCTACCGCTGGGTGAGGGAGAACCCAACGACAGCGAGGTCGATCGAGCCTCACCAAGCCATGGCAAGGCCAACCCCGTTGTCGTTAGGCGAGGGAGAACCCAGCAACAGCGAGGTTGGCCTCGCCTTGGCTAGGCGAGGCTCGCCCTTACCAGTGGTTGGTAGGGGGAGCTTCACTAGAGGCTGGCGAGGTCGACCTCGCCGGCCCTAGCCTCTAGCTAGTCACCGGATTGGCCAGAGGGAAGAAGAGCAAAAAAAAAAAAAACATATAAAAAATCGAAAAAAATGTTAAAATATGAAATAATTACCACGTCAGTGTTAGTCGGATGCACTAAATTGGTACAAATGTAAAAGGTTTATGACTAAATTAACAAAATTGAAAGGTTTAAGATTGAATTGACAAAAATGAATAAGTTTAGGACTGAATGGGGCTTGCATGTGAGAGGGGTGTTGAAAATATCCCATGTTGCTAGACAATGATATATATATATATATATATATATATATATATATATATATATATATATATATATATATATATATATATATATGTACTCTTTACACTTATTAGCTTTAACTTTTCAATTTTACTTTTCATATAACCACGTTGCTTATCCAAAGAGCGGTCTTCAAGTGGAGTCGATGGCACGACACAAAATCTCAAAGGCTCGACGACGATTAACAATGTTTTTCCGGTGTCGGCCCCAAAAATAGATGACAATATTTTCTAATCTGTTCTTCACCCGAGTTTACTTTTGTTGCGGAAAAAATATCAACTAATTTTTTCTGTGAAAACCCCACATCCTGTTACTCTGATTCGTTTCATCATGTGCATTAGCGTGCTTCCACGCTCTCATTGCCCCTTTTTCCTCTTCCATCATCACGATTTCTTTTTTATTGGAGCTTTTTCTCCTATCATTTCAATGGGGTTAGACTTTTGTATTATTTAAATACAAATTTGAAAAATTCGAGATTCTTATGCACGCTGATGGGCTTCACGAAGCAAAATCGATTCCCAAAAGTCAAAGGCTTTGCTAGGCTGGTCAGTGCTCCATGGATAGATTCAATTCGGTATATGGATACTAAAATTATCAAAATTAAGTTACGTATGACACTCACTTTAGTGTTAAAAATTTTCTATTGTCGCTTTTTAAAAAAAGCAATCACTTAAGTGCTAACTTCAATTTGAATCGCTGGAAATCCGACGTAGTCATAGTTTATTAATAATTCCTACCTACGTGGCTCATCGACATGCTTCGTCAGCATATTATCTCCTAAACGACGTCGGTTTCAAGTTTTGCCCCAAATTTGAAACCCTAATTCAATGTTTCCCCCAAAAACACGCTCTTTCCCTCCGCGAAGCCGCTCGCGCATCGTGGTCGCCATCGTTCACCACGACAAACACGTAAACGACAAGGACAACGAAACCGGCGGCAGAGGAAAGGAAAGAGAACGAGCTGAGTCAAACACGCGGTGAGCTTTCAACGAAAGAAAATAACCGTGTGTCTTCGTCGGCCATAATGCACCCTGGCCCTCTGCAGCTCCTCGCCAAGCCTGTCAGCGAGCTTCGAATCCACCAGCTCAATGCTCGCTTGAGCATCAATGGAGGCCTGAAGGCGATGAATGGACGAGTCGAGCACGGCATGCGCTGCTGTAGCGACTGCTCCTCGCTCGACGTGTGGGCGATGTGCGCGGCAGCGTCGTGTGTTTCCTCAGAGAGAGAGAGAGAGTCAGCAGGTTCAACAAAAAAAAAAAAAAGACAAGTATGCGACGTTATTTTTAAAAATGGGAGTCGTGTGGCGTCGTTTTTGGATGGCCAACCACGTCAGCTCGTGCGAGATCGTTTGTAGGTCCACATCATTTTGGCCAGAATTTTTCTCTGGAGGCACTTAAGTAATCGTTTTTTTTTCAAAAAGTGGCACTTAAGTTATCCGGCGAAAAATTTTGATATTAAAATAAGCAACATACACAACTTTTGACACTTCTAGTGTCATTACGCCATTCAATTCTTTTGCATCAATGTAAAACTAACGTGTCACTAAAAAAATATAAACTTTTTTTCCCCTTAAAGCACAATCGACAAAGTGATTGATGAAAGCCCCATGTCATCAACATCCTACGTGGAGCCAAGCTCATGCCGACCCGACCCCGTTCCACCTGTCGCATATCTCACGTCGGTGGCTCCACCAAGGGGTCAACGCAATGCACGACAGTGATCATTCCATAAACTTCTTTAATTTTTCGTGTTTAGTCAAAATGATTCCATAAAAAAGTTGGAGCCCCAGGTGGTCTAAGAGCAAAGAGGGGTGTTCAAGTTCAAAACGGACGTTTTCTTTAAAACACAGAGGCCAATGGCAAGGCATCTGAACGGTTTTACTTTCGTGGCGGTTGCTACGGTGGCGGCGACCGTGGCTTTACTGCCGGGATCTGCAGCACAAACTACTGCGCCGCCGCTTGAACATCTGAAAGGGACGGTGACTTACACCGTGGGAGACGCCATGGGGTAGACCATACCCGCAGGCGGGGGCGGCTGCGTATCAAGCTTGGGCTAGCAGCAATATCTTCGAGGTTGGAGACATTTTAGGTGAGTTGAGAAATGATAGTTTAGTATAAAGTCGAAAGCCGTCTTCGTGACTTTAGACATTTTAGGTGGGTTGAGAATAAATCGCCACAATCAAAAAAGGCAAAAGGGATAAAAAGAAATATTTTTAAGTCGATAATCGAAAGGGAGATCCGGTTCAAATACCATGTGAAAATGTCAGATTTAAAAACTTAAACCGATAGACAGATGGAAACTACACGTATAGAGAGCATCTAAGCTCCGTAGACAGAATAATAAGAGATATTTAACGCTCACAAAGCCCGTGCTTTCATCTTCTTGTTAATTTTCTTTTTATGTTTCCGAAAAAACGAAAGAGTTCTTTTTAATTAAGTGCATGAGAAGGGATTAAGAATAAGGGTACAATCGAAAGTGCAACTTTATAGGGATGCTGATTCTCCACAAAATAAAATAAAAAAAAATGAGGGGGGAGGAGGGGGGTGGTGGATAATGAAATTTTTGAGCATTGAAAGCAAAAAGCTGGAGACATCTCTGGCCCACGCGTGGAGCAAAAGCTCTCTACTAAAAAATAAACAAACAAATAAATGAAATTATAAATATAAATATAAAAAGAGAGTAGGAAGATGACAGTGGTTTCGGGTGATACAAAACATTATTAAAATCGATCATTTAGCAACTAGTGGTTTTCCAAATCAGTGCCCTAAAAGAAGGGGAGATTGGCAGGTTTCAAGTCACGCCCATGTGACATGTCCGATTCGTTTTGGAAATTAGTGGGTCGTTCATCATGCGTGTGGTGGGGTCGGCCATCTAATCGAACCGAAAGAAAAAAAAAATCATGGACTTTTTATTCCGAGATAAATTTCCTCTTTTATTTATTATTATTATTTTTTTAAATTTCAGTTCCGAATGCACATTATTCCGTCGGCTAGTTACTAAACTAGACTCGTTATTGCCGTGCCACTTTTGGAAATGGGGTCTCAACCACTCGTGGCTAAAGTCACGAAGACGGCTTTCGACTCGTGTAACAAGGCTAACCCCCTCTCTATCTCGACCGTCCCACCGGCGAGGATCACCCTCACCACCGCCGGCCAGCATTTCTTCATATGCACCATCCCTGGCCATTGCTTGTCAGGCCAAAAGGTTGCCATCAACGTCACCACCTCCAGCCCTTCCGTCACTCCCCTGCCGAACCCCTCTGCCATCCCGCCGCCGTTCTCCTCTATCGCCTTGCCCCCCAAGGCAGCCACTCCTTCTCCCCCCGCCTCTACTCCAACATCCTCTATTGCCACTCCACCTCTGTCGCTCTCCGCCTCCACTCCATCATCCTCGATTGTTTCTCTGCCGACCAGCACCGTGACTCCAGCACATTCCACAATGAGTCCTCCACCTAAAGTGGCGACTCCATCACCCTCCGCCACCATGCCGCCCTCTAGCAAGGCCGCTCCACCATCTTCAACCCTAGCTCCTCAAGAAGGGCGACATCTCCGGCCGGGTTGCGCTCCTCCCATGCAAGGGAACTCGGCACCATCACTTGGTGTCGCCGTAGTTTTTGCAGTAATTTTGACCACGGCAGTAGCCTTATTTACTTTTCCATAATCGTTGTTGAAAAAAGGTACGTATTGGAGGAAATATACGTAACACTATTTGTTGTAACCAAAAAAATAATAACTCTGAGAAAGCAATAACAACTATAATAATGACCAAGTCAATGAGTAAATTTGTTGAATAAATCTTCTCAACACGGGCAGAGTTCACCAATGTTACAAAAAATATAGACTAGAAAATTTGCTATAAAAAATTACAACAAAATTAAACAAGATGTGAGGTGCGGCTAACCGAATCTCCTTAAGATTATTAGTTTCTACCAACAGTGCTAAGCAGGTTCACGAACTATATCTCCC